ATTTTTTTAAAAAAATGTGCGCAAATGCTTCTAGGTTTCTGAAATAAAATAATATTTGAGGTTTTTCATCAGGATAAAATAGGCTAGGTTTAAAGGTGAGATCATGGAATGTATTTATTCTCTTTGCTTTTGAACTCTGCAAGGAATATCTAGGACATTGCACAAGGGAAAAGAAGATTTTAAAAACATGAAGTTTTGTCTGAGTAAAAAAACCAGGAACAGGGGCTTTTGATCAGTGAGGTGCCCTTTCTCATAAACGTCTGGGTCCCAAGCTCTAAACTAGGGGGTCTCCAAACTTGGTAACTTTGCTCGCTGGGAATTCTGGGAGTTGAAGTCCACAAGGCTTAAAGTTGTCAAGTTTGGTGACCCCTGCTTTAAACTGCTGTGTTGAGGTAAACAAAAAAGCAATAAAAAAAGATTTGTTCCCATTGGTCTCCGGACGCAATTCAAGGTGCTGGTTATCACCTTTAAAGCCCTACATGGCTTAGGACCCAGATACCTGTGGGACCGTCTTCTGCCACATACTTCCCAACGACCGATTAGATCGCACAGGGAAGGCCTGCTCCGGGTGCCGTCAGCCAGACAATGTCGGCTGGAAACTACCCGAGGGAGGGCCTTCTCTGTTGCCGCTCCGACCCTCTGGAATAAACTGCCCCCAGAGATCCGGACTCTGCCCACTCTCATGGCCTTCCGTAAGGCTCTTAAGACCTGGCTATACCAGCAGGCCCCGGGCTATTGAACTCATGTTTGAGTTCCAGCCCCGATTAGATTGGGTGTATGCTGTAATCTTTTTTATTATGTTTTTCTGTGTTTTTTAACTTCTATTTTAATTGTATTGTTGCAAGCCGCCCGGAGTCCTCCGAGATTGGGCGGCCTATAAATTTATTAAACATTCAAACATGGAACTAGTTTATGAAGAAGTCTATAAAAGAACTAAAAGTTGCCTTTGAGTTTTCAAACATTTGAGCCCATCTTGACAACCCACCCAGGGTAGATTGTCTTGTTCTTCTGCCTTTTAGAAAGACTAGCAAATAAAGTAAAGGGTATCTTGCTATCACATTTTATTTCTCTTTTGATTCTTTGTGTATTGTAAAGATAACATAACAACAAAATGAAAGTGCTTTCTTTCTTGGCCCCTTCAAATAGGAACAGGTTAAAGCCTCTGCTAAGTTATTATCTAGGATTAAACTATGCCTCTCCAAAAAAGTCACAAGTGTTGTGCATCTCCTCTCTTTGAACTGTTAAGAAAAACAATTAGATTTATTTGAGGTGGTGAAGATAATACAAGGTATATGCTAGACTGCAAACAAGGGTGGCTATTCCAAAGAAAAGTCTGTTTGCAGCAAAACATATCATCTTACATCAATTTATTTTTTTGCTTGAATACATGTTCTACTGAAGGTGGGTAACTGTTGTTTTTTAAAAAAAAAATACTACTTAAAGACTAAAACAGGATGCAATATTTCAAATCCAAAGAATTGTGTTCTTTCAGTGACAAATTGCAACTCATAAACGTTCCTTCCAGCTTCACTGGTGGGAAAATGTGGTGGTTTTTTATACATCTGCCACTCTCCACTCTATCCTGAGCCACATCAAGCCCAATTGTACGAAGCACACACTATGTATCTTAGTAAAACTTTCTCTCCTTCTCCCTCTCAAATTCCCCAGCTGCCATCAAACCCAAATCCAAACCAGGACATCATTTAAAAGAAAAGAAAAAACCGGGCTCCTAATGTTTTCTTTGGGGGAAAAGAAAACCAGTGCTCAATACTCAACTGAAGTTTTCAATATGGTTTCTTGAAAATGATTTATATTTAAATCCAATGGGGCTTGTTTTACTGTCTTTAAGAAGAGTGTGTGTAAAAGGATAGACGAGGAAGCCTTGGTAGGAAATTTACTTGGTGCCACAAACGTACATTTCAAACCACTGAGTCCTTTAGCTCTTAAAAGCAAGAGAGTTTGTGATTTGTCATGTTTGCCTTCCAAGGAGCCTGCCAAAACAAACTTATTTAGAATGAGGAAAGGCCCAGGAGAATATTGTTTAGTGGTAGCCAAAACAGAGAAGATGCTGTGGCTTGGTTTGCAAAGCACATTATGTAAAAAAAAACAAAAAAAAACAACAACACCAAACTCTTTTCTTCAACTGCTATTATGTAAAGCTTAGCAATGCAACTCTCATTTGGTAGTTATGTAAACCTTAACAAACAAGCACCATGAGATTCATCTAAGTATCTTCAGATTGCTAAATAATGGCAGAGTGATATCCAATGCAGGCTTGGCATTCTGGATGTTGTAATGTTGACATATATGGAAGATACCAGATTGTTAAAAGCTAACTTAATGTTTAGTTAATTTTTGACTTGCTCGGAGATACTAATGTGTTGCATCTTCTTCTCTTTAGGTGACTTCCTAAGTATCACCTTGGCAAGTGGATATATACAACTACGTTACAATCTTGGGGACAGAACAGTAGTTTTACAGACATTCCAACCTGTCCATAGCACAAATAAGACCTGGCTTTTAATTAAAGCAGGAAGAGTTGGTAATGAAGGCTACTTGGATCTTGATGGAATCAACGTAACTCAGAAAGCTACCAGTGGCATGACTTCCTTAGACACCCAGACTGATTTCTATGTAGGAGGACTACCTTCCTTAAACTTGGTTAATCCCAGGGGAATTAAGAATGAGCCCACTGGCTTCACTGGCTGCATTAGGGAGGTCTTTGTCAATGGCAAAGAATTAAAACTCACCGAGAAAGGAGCGAAAGGTGGTTCCAATATAGGAGATTGCGACGGAACACCCTGCGGCTATAGAGTATGTAAAAACAATGGGAAATGTAAAGTTGTAGAGTCTGATTTCTCTTGCTTGTGCCCCAAGCAATGGATGGGGAAGACATGTGAGCAGTCTATTTATTGTTCGCATAATAAGTGTCTCCACGGAAGTGTTTGTATACCCAACCCAGTTTTATTTTCATATACGTGTGCCTGTAGACTTGGCTGGACAGGCCCGTGGTGTGAAAAACAGCTCTCGTTTTTTATTGCAAAGTTCACGGGCAATTCATACATCAAGTACACTGATCCCAATTATGAAGGGATCAGTGAGAGAGATCTCAGATTTACAAGGGTCTCCTTCAATTTTACCACCAGTCAAATGGATGGTTTGCTCATTTGGTTAGGAAAGGCTGAAGACGAAGATAATGACTTCCTTGGAGTAGGGCTTGAAAACGGAATGCTGAAAGTTGTAGTTAACCTAGGAGAAAGAATTGCCATCCCTCTTATTCACCAAGGAAAGATGGCATGCTGCAAAAAATGGCATTTTGTTGACGTTGTGCAAAACCGGACCCTCGTCGAAGTGTATCTTGATGAGGAACTGGCTCTTTTTGAAGATCTGGATCCAGAGAGAAAGTATACGGTTCTAAATTATGGAGGCATTTGCTACTTTGGAGGGTTTGGCCTTGACAGGAGAGTAAGCGCGGTCACCTCAGGACTGTTTAAGCAAGAACTATTTGGTAAAATAAAGGACGTTGCCCTTTTCCAGGATTCAAAAAAAATAAATCTAACTAAGGGAGAAGGGTATAATATATATAGCGGAGATAAGGACTAACCAAGTAAAAGAGACAAGGCTGTATTATTTATTTAAACTTGTTATAGTAGCTCACTCTGGTAGACTCTGGGGCAGGCATAGTTATAGATCGGGGTATTGAACTCAATTTCATTGAGGGCTGCATCAGGGTTCTGTTTGACTTCGTGGGGCCGGAGTGGGCATGGCCGTCACCCGTTAAAACCGCGCTCGACTAAGCCGCGCCCGATTAAACCGCGTCGCTGACGTCATCAACAGGGCGACAACAGCCAGCGCGGAGAAAGAAGGGCGCTTCAAATAGCGCTTTGAAAGCAAGCCGATTCAACTTAAGGTAAGGGTTAGGTTTAGGGTTAGNACTGGCTATTATATGTAAATAGGATTTTAAAATAGCCTAACAATTTATTTTAATCACATATTATTGAGAGATAGTTTCTTTCTTATACCAAAGTGCAAAATCTATGTTTCATAGGTAAGGCGATTTAATTAAGGGTTTCCTTTTTTTTTTTTAATGCAGAATGCTCTTAATTTTACTAAATACTTCAAAATAGGATGTTGAACAGAGTAGTGCAATAATATCTAACAGAAAAGAACCAATAAACTACGTTTCACAGAAAAATCACATTTTACTGATCTATTTATTAAAAACCCTGTGGGTTATTAAAAATTACCAGTCATGAACTGCAAAGGCAAGCCATATTTATACATCTTTCTGTTATACTGGTATAGCCTATTGCTCCACATCTATTAAAATCAAGCAAGCAACTGTGAGAAGGTTATCCATTTGTAGAATCAAAATACCCCTTAAAATATTTACATTTTTATAATATAAAGAATAGGAAAACACAAGTCTCATGTACAAGCTTAGGTATTTCAAGTTTTCAAAGCATGAGAAATAGCTAAAATATTAATTTCAGCTGAAAGCCAGGGTTCTCAAATTGCCATCAGGCGTGGTCGTATTTATTATTATTTTTTTTTAAAAAAAAGCTGTTGTGCAGATGAAGCGGAAACACAAGTCTAGGCTTTGTTGTTGCCAATAAAAACCCAAAATGAGCAAAGCTTGAGAACTCCTGCGAATTCTCCTAGATGGCGTTTAATGATTAAAAGTGGAAAAAGGGATTTAATTCCAGTCCTAACACTATTGAACGTCATTAAGTTTTATTCATTTCAGGAGGTGAGCCATCGACAACGGACAGGCTAAAGCCGTAAAATACCCCACTAAAAAGCGTGGCCCCCGAAGCCGTAAAACCTGGACTCCTCCTGCTCACCGTCCACTTCATTCTATCAGAAATGCCCAATAATAAATACGGGTGGGATTCCCTCTGCCCACCACCATTTCCTTATTCTTTGGAATCTGTTTGAATATATGAATCTTTTGAATCCATATGCATTGGAATAGGGGGCTGCATTACAATCTCTCTCGTTTTCAAAGTCAGCGTTGTGTCGTCATATTTCACGCCACAAATCCATCTTCATGGTTGCTGGAGCAGCTCCAAACGCAAAATGCAAATCGCCAAAGGCTACAAATAGCTTGACTGACGCCCAATTTGACAAAAGAATCTGTACGTGTCTTTTTATTGCATATTAAAAAGAAGCCCCTTCCGGTTATTTTTTTTATACAAGCAGAGTAAAATCTTCCAACTATTCAACTCTACTCCTATGCCAAGAGGTTGTAAAAGAAAGTGAATGCGCGGTACGCAGAATGGTACCAGAACAGACTTAAGTCCTACAAAACACTAAACATTGAATATAAAAAGAAAGTATTGATGGCACAATTATACCCAAGCATATATTATACAGACAGCTTTAGGACATATTTAAAACATATTATGTTCTATTTGTTTAAAATTAGAAGACAGACTGTGCCTTCTTTCTCTCTCATTTTCTTTTTTTCCTTTCACCTTTTGCTTTTACCGCGATCGCTCTGGTCCCTCTCTTTGTGATGCCTTTCTCGGCTCTTTTCATTGTCTTGCTCCTTTGGCCGTTCCCTACTCTTCTCTCTCTCTTTCTCTTTTTCGTGAAAGCGCTCTTCACTTCTAGAAACATCCTTCTTTTCCGGGTTTCTACTTTCTTGAGAGGTTTTGCTTTCAGAGTCCTTATCGCTATGGGAAAGTCGCAACCTCTCTTTGTCTCGATGCCCTTCCTCCCTGTTTTTTCTTTCCCTCTCTTTCTCGGAGCTTCGGTCTCGGTGTCGACTTCTTTCAGGATCCACATCCCAGTCGTGCCTGCCCTTCTTGGGGTGGTGAGATTCGCTATAAAACCTTTGCCTGTGTTGATCATTCTTCCTCCTGTTGAAGGCCCTCTCCATGTGAGGACCCTGACGGCCTGCCCAGGGGTCACTGTGACGCCTTTCATGTCTCCTAGCGTTTTTATTTTGATAAAAGTGTTCAGGCCCTGAGAATCTTGATGGTTTCTGGGGGGCGGGAGGGGCTGGTGTAACTGGTCCAACAAAGTGGGGTAGCTGACCTGGCAGGTGAAGTACGGGGGGCCAAGGCATGAGAGGGCTTTGAGCAAAACCAAAGCCCGGAGGTGGAAGGAGCGGTGGGGGCAGATGATGGGGGAACCCAAATACAGGAGTGTTCGTTGGGGAGAAATTAGGGGCAATGGCCCCTTGAAACTGAAAACCTGGGGGAGTTGTTTTAGTGGGTGGGAAATTGGGTTGAGGAGTCCTAATTGGTGAGAAATTTCCACTTGGGGCAGGTAGTTTGGTACTGAAGTCAGATTGATGACTTGTATTTTCCGCTTCAAACTGAGATGGTAAGGATGTTGAAGAGGATGGCGGTGGGGGTGGGGGTGGAGGGGGCGGCAATAATTCTCTCTCAGAATTTCCAGTCTCAATGTTTTGCGTCAAGGTGTCTTTAAGTTGTGAGGTACGTGCTCTTTCTCCATTAGATGCATTTGAAACCAATGTTGTCTTGCAGGCCTGGTTATCGGTCTGATCTGAGGCTAATTCATTTCCTGAAGTCTGCTTGTTATCGACCTTTGACGGTTCAGATTCTGAAGTATCAAACTGTTGCATATCTTCACTTCTCGTACTATCGCCTTCGCTTTCTGAACTATTGTTCTGTTGGCCTCGTCCAGCTGCTTGCCTTGGGTCTCTCTTAAGATTAATGAATGGGGGAGATTTGGAACTATGAATGGTCATAGTATCAACAGATGCTGTTCCAACATTATTGCTCCCAACTCCTTTTCCAGCATTGGAAGTAACAGGAAAATCTATGGTTCTTTTACTTTCCTGAGGAACATTATCTGTATCACCCAACTTTAAACTGTTTTCCGGAGTCTCTTGGGTTTCCTTATTCTGTGATAGAATAGTTAAGTTTGCTAAAAATACCTCAGTGGAAACATCTGGTGGTTTCTCCTTAAGACTCAGACTTGTAAGAGTTTCTGAAGAGCAAGGAAGATCTACTGATACGTCCACTGCTAAGGTATTGTTGATGGTTTCTTTTGCATTGTCCTTTTTATGCCTTGTACCTTCAACACCCACTGGAATGTCTATGTTTTCTTCCTTAACTTTTGTCCGTTTCTCTAATAAAGGAAGATCTTTATTAACCAACTTGTCGGCGGTTGATTGGATATGTTCAGGCATCTGCCCTGTGGTATCCAAAAGGCTTTGAAGAATGTCATCTACTGGCAGAGGCTTACTTGCTAGTTCAAGAGCAGATGACTGATTTTCCCATCCAACCAAAACCCCAGGAAGGAACCGTAGAGGTTTGGTGGGTTCAAGTTTGATGGTCTCCACAGCGGGTTCATTGGCTGTGACTTCTTCTGTGCTACATTGTTGGGATTTGATCCTCTGCTTGTGCAGCACTGTGGTAAATGAATTAAAGAAATCATTTTCTTCTTCTCTTTCATTTACCTCAGAGTGAAGGACTTCCGGTTTGTTCAGTTTACTTTTTTTCTCTGGTTGCAAATTTTCAGGGCCTTCTTCAGCATGGGTCACGGTTGAATTAGCCACAGCACTAATCTGCCTTTTCAGCTTCTGGCGAATTATCAATCCCAGCAGCAAGTTGGGTCGGTGGACTTCAATTCCTACACACATACACACACACACACATATATATATAGTATATTAAAAAAGGAACAATGTAATAATTGAAAACATGTATCTTGGGGTTCTTTTTCAATTAAAACAAGCTACTGAGTATCTACAATGCCAAATAGTTTAAATGGTTCACTGATGTTACAAAATGTACTGCACCTTTTGGAATATAAGATGCTCCAAAGTATAAGACGCACCTAGCTTTTGGGGAGGAAAACAAGAAAAAAATAATCTGCCTCTGCCTCCCAGCTATTTGCCTCCTTGCAACAAACAGCATAGTTTAATTTAGCATGAGCAGGTGATTGGCAGTTGGATCTGCCTCCTGGAATACCTCCTAACAGCTGCTCCAGACTGCGGGGATCACCACCGCCCATTGCTGCTGCCACCTATTGCTGTCTCCGCACATCCTAATTTTGGCCCGTTCCTAGGCAGCAGGGATTGCCGCCACCACTGCCTATCCCCTCTTGGAACAGGCCAAAAATGGGATGTATGGAGAGCAAAAATGGGGTGCACGGAGGTGGCGAAAGGTGGCAGTGGCGATGGGTGGTGCCCGGTGCCAATGGGCGGCGGTGATCCCTGCAGCCTGGAACAGTTGATAGGAGGTATTCCAGTAGCCAGATCCAACTGTCAGTCAGCTACTCGTGCTAAATCGGGATGTGCTGAAGCTGACCATACTGTTTGCTGCAAGAGGCAAATTGCTGGGAGCAAACGCGTTCAGCAACATTCGCTGTATAAGACGCATAGACATTTCTAGCCACTTTATGTGTGTGGGGGGGGGAGGGGGAGTGTGTCTTATACTCCGAAAAATATGGTGTACTCTAAGAAGCACTTACAAAATTTCACTCTACAAATAATTGCTATGTAAAAGTACATTTTACACTATAAAATACTTATCATCTGTTAAATCAAGAATACTAATTCTATTCATGAGCTAAACAGAGAAAGAAATCCATGTCTGTTCTTTGAAACACACATGGATTTCCTGCAAAGCTTCATTTCCAATATAGTGCTCTGCGATAAATCATCAAACCATTTGGCTCCTAGCATAGTTAAAAATATATCTCAGAAAATAAAAAGGGTTTGTTCTTGGCTTTTTAAAATCATTAATACTTTAATGCAAAGGACAGTTCAGCCTATCTTTGTTACTTACCAGGACCATCAAAGGGAACCAACTGATGTGGAATTTTATCAGAAGCACCTAAAGGGATAATATATAAATCCTTGATTTGCTTCATGTTATTCGCTGCTACACCATAACGTTTCCTGCTGCTGAAGTATGCAAAAAGCAAAGCGTATGAAATCTGATCCTCTTCTGTAACAGGAGTAAAACGAACCACACATATTTCCTATTATGAAAAAAAGGGAAATTTATTAATTATCACCACGTTCTTAAAATAAACACACACGCACATCTATTTTTGTTCCTCGGAGTATCTTGTACTTCACTGATTTTAGATGCCAGGAAATTCACTCAAGATGATCATACATAGCGAACAAGTAAGAGTCATCCAGAGCTGCTTGATAGTAAAATGAGTGGCATGCAAATTTCATAATTAAATCAATAAATAAGAGAGAATGCTCTACTGCTTCTCATATTGCTGTTGCAGGCCAGGAAGACACATGCAGTTTGAAGCTATCTCAAAGCAATGATATTTAAATAGATCTAATTTGTAAGCCTATCGCTTTGCTACTGAGAAAGGCAACCTTTAAAATGTATGCAATATAGTAAATGATTCTCTCAAAAAAATTGTACTGAAAGTTGTGCGCTAAACCATATTATGTATTTGGAATATATGAAGCATTAACATGAAACAAAATAAAATCACTTTTCATAAATTAAAGGAGGTCTTAGATGCCACCAGTGTAAGTGTACAGAGAAATGGCACGCAAGCTGTATCAAAAAGAACTGTAGTCCTTAACAATATTTTTGAAATGGGAATATGTACAAGCATCATAGTTGCAAGTTTTTTTCTTCATTTATAATACTCTTCTTCCATTTTCTGTACCTGAGTTTATCTAGGCTTCCCTTATATATTGAAAATGAGCATATTATCTAGCTACTGGATTCATTACTGAACAAGGAACAGTGCAGTTTATTTCTTTTCTGCATTGGATTTCATACAAACAGTACTGATGAATTTATTTCAGGTAATAACAGCACCAGCATGAAATCCTATTCTTCTAAAAAATCAAAGAGCATTGAGCATCTAATGCCACATTATATTACAAGAATACATTTTTACCTTTGTGCCCGAAGCCTTTATTTTATCAACATATTCCCAAACAGTCTGAGGTGATATCCTGCCACCTACTTGGATGCTATCTGGCAAATCCTATGGAAGAGGATGCACATTTTTACCACAAGACAATAGATTTTCCTCAATAAAAGAAATATAACTTTCATAATCTACATGCAAAAGTACATTGGTCTAATGCCCCTCCTTGGTGATTTTTTTACACTGCAACATTTCATTGTCCACAGTAAAAGAAAATGCAGGAATTCCCCAAGAAAATGGTAGAATTGTTGAGTATGCCATGCATTACCTCTGTTAAACTTTCAAAGGAGCCAGAGATTGGGTAAGCCTTGATAACAAACTTTGCCACAGATGGCATGTTGATTAAGCCTTTCCAAATGAAATTCAGGCGAGCTAGAAATAAGGTTTCACTTTCAACAGTTCCAGGTGTTTCTGATCTGAAACATAGAAATTAAGGAAAACAAAGCAATTTAGTATAGTAAGCAACCAACTGCATTAAATATGGATGGGTGAGAAGTAAAGAGAAGGAAAACATTTCCTATATGTGCCATGGTGAGCCAGAGGCCTTGCTGGCATTTCTTAATTAGCAAGAGAATTTTCAAAGTGAAATTGACCCTGAGTGGAGTGGCGGAGAGTTGGAATTTACATCAAATTCCCATTTGCACTTTATGGACACTGCGCTTGATTGAATCTTCTATCCTAGTTTCAATCCTTCAATCCTTTTTTCAATTATTTTCTTTATTCTTGCATATTGGAAAGATTAAGAGTCTTCAGATTAGCAAGGTTCTACCCTGTTTCCCCGAAAATAAGACCTCACTGGATAATAAGCCCAATTGGGCTTTTGAGCACATGCACTAAAATAAGCCCTCCCCTGAAAATAAGCCCTCCCTGAAAATACTGCAACACAGCAGCAGTCATGAGGTGACCACGCTCGCCGCCTCCTGCACCTCAAAAATAATAAGACCTCCCCAAAAATAAAGCCAAATGCTTGTCTTATTTTCGGGAAAACATCGTATTGTATTCATTGGAACATCTTGAGGACTGTACAAGAGAGCCAGAGGATAAAGAAAATGGAGCAAAAATCCTTAGTGAAAAATTGTAATTACCTTTCAGCTAAACCTATGGATAGAATGGATTAGATGCTTCATAAAATTAATAGAGCATGTTTATATAAAATTATAAAACAAGAATGCTATTGATGTTTATGAAATTAATTTGAAGGGGGATTTAAACACTATATAAATGGATCTGATGGATGACTTATTCTGACATTAAACCAGAAAGTTAATTTGGATATTTTTCCCCCCTCTGGAAAGAGCCGAGGTGGCGCAGTGGTTAAATGCAGCACTGCAGGCTACTTCAGCTGACTGCAGTTCTGCAGTTCGGCTGTTCAAATCTCACCGGNCAAATAATTTGTCAATGCAAGTATGGGTAATCCTTGACTTATGATCACAATTAACTCCCAAATTTCTGTTGGGAAATAGTTATTAAGTACGTTTTGCTCCATTCTTCTCAGTTATTAAGTTAACCCAACAGTTAAGTGAATCTGGATTGCCCATTGACTTTGCTTTTCAGAAGATTGCCCAAGCTGATCCCATGACCCTGAGACCCCGCAACCATCCTAAATATGAGCCAGTTGCCAAGCCTCTGAATTCTGATCATGTGACCATACAGCTGATGAAATGGGTGCGAGTGAAAAATGTTTTTTTCCAATTCTGTTGTAACTGAATGGTGGCTAACCGGATGGTTGTAAGTCAAAGACCACCCGTAATATCAAATATTATTTTGAAAGTGGCAGAGCTTATATTTTCTATGTTTATTTTTGTGAGCGGTAGCTTTTTTTTTTCTTTGGGAGCAATTAAATCATATCAAAATGTTAAACAATGGTTCATAAATTTCAGAGAGATCTTTCCTTGGCTTTAGAACGTATTCCAAAAATAAATGCCTAGTACAATGGAAAACCAAGTACACCAGCAATCCTCTTACAAAATCCTTTTTTTTTCCCCAGGGAAAGAATATATACCCGAAAATAAGACCCACCCAAAACAAGCCCCAGACTGATTTTTGGAGTGGGCCTAATATGAGCCCTACCCCCCAAAAAGCCCAGAGGAATGGGCGTGGCCAGAAAAAAGGCAGCAAACATGGGGGGGGGGAATGACAGTGTCCAGCAGCAGCCACAACCCATGAGCCCCTTGGTGCAGCGTAAATACTGATAAGACCAAGCATGCAGGCAGTGGCAGAGGGAGAAGACAGGTGATCCAGATGTGCTGTGCAGCTACCTTATTCATGCGAGGCTCTTGGGAAGCTTGTGCAGCAGGCAGAGGCATGGGGGAGGCATGCAATCCCGTTGGCCCACATGGGTGTTTGGTTGGCGGGGGCCACAGGCAAGCAGAGAAATGGTGGGAGGTGGGACAGAGTGGGCGGCGCATTGGGACCCCCTCTGCCTCCGCCTGGCTCTGCTGCGCACTTTTTGCCCAGAGGGAGAGAAAACTTTGCTTGCAAAGGGAGCACTTTGAAACGAAACTAATGCTCCATTTCAAACCATCCCATTTGCAAGCACACAAAGCTTTTGAGTCTCTGTCATTTCTCCGTCTGGGTGAAAAGTGTTCGGTCCTTGGGAATGGAACAAATCGACCAAACATAGGAGACTCAAAGCTTCATGTGCTTGCAAAAGAGACAGCTCCATTTCAAAGGATCCCCTTTGCAAGTAGACAAAGCTGTCTCCCTCTGGGCAAAAAGTGTTTGGGCAGGTACCGCCAGCCCAGCCCTTTCCGTCCCACTGTCTGCTTGCCAGCTGCCACAATTGGAGCCAAGCTCTTAGCATGCCCCAGCCTCCACCCACCTTGCCAGGAGGGCAAAGAGCCCCGCGAAGCCAACAGCGGCATGGACAGCTGCTTGGTGGTCAGCAGTGCCGCTGCAGTCGAGAAGTGTCCCAGGAGCAGCTGGGCCAGCAGACAGGGAGGGTGGAGCCCCAGGTATGCTCAGAAATTGGCCCGTTGCAGCCACGCGCAAGCAAACAGTGGAACGGAGAGGGCGGGGCCAGCAGTAGCTGTACTCCCAATCCAGTAAGCGCCTGCGCTCGCCACCTCCTGCACTTAAAGACTCCCCCCCCCAAAAAAATAAGCCCGAGGGCTTATTTTCAAGCTCAAAGGAAAATAGCACTGGGTCTTATTTTCGGGAAAACGCTGGTAGTACTTGGGGAGATCCATTATCACTGAAAGCAATAAACTTGTTGGAAGCAGGAATGTTCTTGCTAAAATGCAAAAATGTAAGTATTAAATAAAGAAGCTATGGAGTTTGGAAGAGTGATGGACAATTAAAGGAGCATTATTTTGTTAGAAAATAATCATTTTAATCGCTGTATTACATGTCTTTCATCTTGCAAGGTACATTTTTCCAAAACCATCCCTTACTCAGCAAACTGTAATCCACGCTAGCACTGATATGACTTAATTTGGGTAATGAAAGTTCTGCAAGAAAACTACCAAGGCTCACAGAGCACCGAGGACCCTGCATTTCAACCCTGAACTACAAGTATTTTCAATGTGTATGGAGATTCTCAGTCATCCAGTCATCATTGTCCAACGGGTGTTTTTTCAAAAGATGACTTTCTGTGTTTTTCCTTGAAGATGTTTTGCCTCTTAGATGAGAAGTGAAATGTCTTTAAGGAAAAACACAGAGAGTTCAGTTGCCTTTTGAAAAAGCACTTTTGCTACAAATTATTCTCTTTTATTGCCATCTCTTCCTTTCCTGAGGTTGCTGTTATTAATTTATTAGATTACGGTTCTCAATTTTATTAATAATTGGTGAAATGAACTATATGTAACATAGCCTATAGCTTAATTTACACATAAGGAAATCACGTTAATGCTTCTTTTCTACCAGTTGTATTGAAATTCATTGGATTACCCATGTTTTGTTGTTGTCCCTCCTGTCTCAAATTATGCCTCACAACACATCTGTGTGATAACACACATCACCTCTTAACTTTATTTTCTTGAAATATTTTGGAAAGCCTTTGCCCATTTTTTGTGTCCCTACTATTTTAGTAACACCATTTCTTCCTACGTACTTCTCTATTTTAGGATAAGGACTTCTCATCTTTTATTTGAAATCTGCAATAACAAAATAGAAGAAATATGTTAAGTTAATTTAACTTGGTTAGTCTATATTTTTATATGTAAGGACCTGGAAGTATGGAAAATGTTGAACTAATATTATTCTTCACAGCCCTTTCTTCATTCTACAATTAATTAAACTATAAATTTGGATTCATTTACTATACTCATACCTTACCTTTCAGGACAAAATTATTCTAAAGTGATTACTTAACAAGCTGCCATCACTATTATATGAAGTAGCATCTCAGGAAGAGCCAAAATATGAAAGAAAACCGTAACACATTGTAGTTTTTTACAATACCTGATGTCAGATTTCTAATTGTATCGGATTTTTTAAAAAGGCTTTTATTTATTACAAATTTTGACATAATTTATTATTTTGGAGGAACGGGGGCATACATAGCAAATATTTAGCATTTTAAAACTTTTTTTAATAGTAAGATTAACACCCTATTCCTAGTTATATTTATGCGGAAGTATCAAAGTGCACTTAGGATTTCAGTCTTTGAAGCACTCATCTTTTAGTCTGCTCATAAACTTACATGCAGGATTCTACCACTGAGTATGAGATTAGTCGGAGTACATCTTATACTTCTACATAAATATCCAAATAAATATGAATAAAATAGCACAAATTGGGAAGTATGAATATTTGAAATTCACAAGAAATTCCAATTTCATTATCCAAGTGACACCAATCCAACCACCATTTATTATTATGGCAGGTCACACCGTCAGCCATGTTTAGACTGGATTTGACATTTTTGTCCACATACTGAGTTCTTCCCAAAGACAATGATAGGCAGATGATATTATTGTTACTATGCCAGTTTAATGGTCTAATGGATAAGGCATCAGGCTAGAAACTGAGTGACTGAGTTCAAGTCCCAGCGGAGGCATGAATGCTGGGTCTCTTGGGTGACACTTTTCTTGAACCCAACTCACCTCATAGTTGTTGATGGGAAACAGGAGATGGAAGGAATACTAGATATATTCACTACTGAGTTATTTATAAAAATAATAAAGCTGGGATAAAAGTAGTTGCATACTTTCTTATTACGAGTAATCTACTATTAGATTCAGACTTGGTGAATACTTAATAATTCAAGACCTAACCAAGGACCTATCAATTAAGGTAGCAACTAAGCATACAGGCAATTCCAAGCAAGTGATTATTTTTTGTAAAATTAGGGTGTTCAGTTCTGGCGAATTAAAACATTTTCCAAATATGGATGGAATCCTTTGCCCCAAGGAGTCACAATTGGTGTAACAGCATATTTATTTTTCCATAAGCATCCAAATGTGATCTGTAAGTCCTGGTAGATTTTCTTATTTTCAATAACTGTTTTATCAGACATATCATGAACAAGGGGTCTGTCTGTTTAAATTTTTAATTCCCGTAACATCTCAGGCTGTTCATTTTCCAAAATTTTTCAATTTCATCTTCCCAGTAGTTTTTTTTAAAAAAAATTGCAGCAAAAAGTATTATGAATAATAAGCTTGTTATCTTCTTTCCATGGCAGACATATAGTAAGAACCCTTGGGAGAGTTATATAGCTGAAAATGAACACTAATTAAAGGTTTCACAAGAAAGGTTGAAAGTAATTATGGGTGGTGAAGTTGTCCTGTGCCAGATGTCACTCTACTCACTCTTAAGAGAAAATTCCAGGCAAAGTTCTCAGTGCCTGCACATACACACACACACACACAAGCACACACAGACAACATAAACCTAGCATATGGTTGCATTTCTGTTGAAAATGTAGACTAATTATATGTATGAATGAGTCAACATTTTGGATAATCACTTTTTTTAAAAAAACGGTACCATCAAGCAATTTATGATATAGCATTTTTAATTTGACTAAATAAAGCCATGTGCAAGGTTTGCAAACTGGCTATTATATGTAAATAGGATTTTAAAATAGCCTAACAATTTATTTTAATCACATATTATTGAGAGATAGTTTCTTTCTTATACCAAAGTGCAAAATCTATGTTTCATAGGTAAGGCGATTTAATTAAGGGTTTCCTTTTTTTTTTTTAATGCAGAATGCTCTTAATTTTACTAAATACTTCAAAATAGGATGTTGAACAGAGTAGTGCAATAATATCTAACAGAAAAGAACCAATAAACTACGTTTCACAGAAAAATCACATTTTACTGATCTATTTATTAAAAACCCTGTGGGTTATTAAAAATTACCAGTCATGAACTGCAAAGGCAAGCCATATTTATACATCTTTCTGTTATACTGGTATAGCCTATTGCTCCACATCTATTAAAATCAAGCAAGCAACTGTGAGAAGGTTATCCATTTGTAGAATCAAAATACCCCTTAAAATATTTACATTTTTATAATATAAAGAATAGGAAAACACAAGTCTCATGTACAAGCTTAGGTATTTCAAGTTTTCAAAGCATGAGAAATAGCTAAAATATTAATTTCAGCTGAAAGCCAGGGTTCTCAAATTGCCATCAGGCGTGGTCGTATTTATTATTATTTTTTTTTAAAAAAAAGCTGTTGTGCAGATGAAGCGGAAACACAAGTCTAGGCTTTGTTGTTGCCAATAAAAACCCAAAATGAGCAAAGCTTGAGAACTCCTGCGAATTCTCCTAGATGGCGTTTAATGATTAAAAGTGGAAAAAGGGATTTAATTCCAGTCCTAACACTATTGAACGTCATTAAGTTTTATTCATTTCAGGAGGTGAGCCATCGACAACGGACAGGCTAAAGCCGTAAAATACCCCACTAAAAAGCGTGGCCCCCGAAGCCGTAAAACCTGGACTCCTCCTGCTCACCGTCCACTTCATTCTATCAGAAATGCCCAATAATAAATACGGGTGGGATTCCCTCTGCCCACCACCATTTCCTTATTCTTTGGAATCTGTTTGAATATATGAATCTTTTGAATCCATATGCATTGGAATAGGGGGCTGCATTACAATCTCTCTCGTTTTCAAAGTCAGCGTTGTGTCGTCATATTTCACGCCACAAATCCATCTTCATGGTTGCTGGAGCAGCTCCAAACGCAAAATGCAAATCGCCAAAGGCTACAAATAGCTTGACTGACGCCCAATTTGACAAAAGAATCTGTACGTGTCTTTTTATTGCATATTAAAAAGAAGCCCCTTCCGGTTATTTTTTTTATACAAGCAGAGTAAAATCTTCCAACTATTCAACTCTACTCCTATGCCAAGAGGTTGTAAAAGAAAGCGAATGCGCGGTACGCAGAATGGTACCAGAACAGACTTAAGTCCTACAAAACACTAAACATTGAATATAAAAAGAAAGTATTGATGGCACAATTATACCCAAGCATATATTATACAGACAGCTTTAGGACATATTTAAAACATATTATGTTCTATTTGTTTAAAATTAGAAGACAGACTGTGCCTTCTTTCTCTCTCATTTTCTTTTTTTCCTTTCACCTTTTGCTTTTACCGCGATCGCTCTGGTCCCTCTCTTTGTGATGCCTTTCTCGGCTCTTTTCATTGTCTTGCTCCTTTGGCCGTTCCCTACTCTTCTCTCTCTCTTTCTCTTTTTCGTGAAAGCGCTCTTCACTTCTAGAAACATCCTTCTTTTCCGGGTTTCTACTTTCTTGAGAGGTTTTGCTTTCAGAGTCCTTATCGCTATGGGAAAGTCGCAACCTCTCTTTGTCTCGATGCCCTTCCTCCCTGTTTTTTCTTTCCCTCTCTTTCTCGGAGCTTCGGTCTCGGTGTCGACTTCTTTCAGGATCCACATCCCAGTCGTGCCTGCCCTTCTTGGGGTGGTGAGATTCGCTATAAAACCTTTGCCTGTGTTGATCATTCTTCCTCCTGTTGAAGGCCCTCTCCATGTGAGGACCCTGACGGCCTGCCCAGGGGTCACTGTGACGCCTTTCATGTCTCCTAGCGTTTTTATTTTGATAAAAGTGTTCAGGCCCTGAGAATCTTGATGGTTTCTGGGGGGCGGGAGGGGCTGGTGTAACTGGTCCAACAAAGTGGGGTAGCTGACCTGGCAGGTGAAGTACGGGGGGCCAAGGCATGAGAGGGCTTTGAGCAAAACCAAAGCCCGGAGGTGGAAGGAGCGGTGGGGGCAGATGATGGGGGAACCCAAATACAGGAGTGTTCGTTGGGGAGAAATTAGGGGCAATGGCCCCTTGAAACTGAAAACCTGGGGGAGTTGTTTTAGTGGGTGGGAAATTGGGTTGAGGAGTCCTAATTGGTGAGAAATTTCCACTTGGGGCAGGTAGTTTGGTACTGAAGTCAGATTGATGACTTGTATTTTCCGCTTCAAACTGAGATGGTAAGGATGTTGAAGAGGATGGCGGTGGGGGTGGGGGTGGAGGGGGCGGCAATAATTCTCTCTCAGAATTTCCAGTCTCAATGTTTTGCGTCAAGGTGTCTTTAAGTTGTGAGGTACGTGCTCTTTCTCCATTAGATGCATTTGAAACCAATGTTGTCTTGCAGGCCTGGTTATCGGTCTGATCTGAGGCTAATTCATTTCCTGAAGTCTGCTTGTTATCGACCTTTGACGGTTCAGATTCTGAAGTATCAAACTGTTGCATATCTTCACTTCTCGTACTATCGCCTTCGCTTTCTGAACTATTGTTCTGTTGGCCTCGTCCAGCTGCTTGCCTTGGGTCTCTCTTAAGATTAATGAATGGGGGAGATTTGGAACTATGAATGGTCATAGTATCAACAGATGCTGTTCCAACATTATTGCTCCCAACTCCTTTTCCAGCATTGGAAGTAACAGGAAAATCTATGGTTCTTTTACTTTCCTGAGGAACATTATCTGTATCACCCAACTTTAAACTGTTTTCCGGAGTCTCTTGGGTTTCCTTATTCTGTGATAGAATAGTTAAGTTTGCTAAAAATACCTCAGTGGAAACATCTGGTGGTTTCTCCTTAAGACTCAGACTTGTAAGAGTTTCTGAAGAGCAAGGAAGATCTACTGATACGTCCACTGCTAAGGTATTGTTGATGGTTTCTTTTGCATTGTCCTTTTTATGCCTTGTACCTTCAACACCCACTGGAATGTCTATGTTTTCTTCCTTAACTTTTGTCCGTTTCTCTAATAAAGGAAGATCTTTATTAACCAACTTGTCGGCGGTTGATTGGATATGTTCAGGCATCTGCCCTGTGGTATCCAAAAGGCTTTGAAGAATGTCATCTACTGGCAGAGGCTTACTTGCTAGTTCAAGAGCAGATGACTGATTTTCCCATCCAACCAAAACCCCAGGAAGGAACCGTAGAGGTTTGGTGGGTTCAAGTTTGATGGTCTCCACAGCGGGTTCATTGGCTGTGACTTCTTCTGTGCTACATTGTTGGGATTTGATCCTCTGCTTGTGCAGCACTGTGGTAAATGAATTAAAGAAATCATTTTCTTCTTCTCTTTCATTTACCTCAGAGTGAAGGACTTCCGGTTTGTTCAGTTTACTTTTTTTCTCTGGTTGCAAATTTTCAGGGCCTTCTTCAGCATGGGTCACGGTTGAATTAGCCACAGCACTAATCTGCCTTTTCAGCTTCTGGCGAATTATCAATCCCAGCAGCAAGTTGGGTCGGTGGACTTCAATTCCTACACACATACACACACACACACATATATATATAGTATATTAAAAAAGGAACAATGTAATAATTGAAAACATGTATCTTGGGGTTCTTTTTCAATTAAAACAAGCTACTGAGTATCTACAATGCCAAATAGTTTAAATGGTTCACTGATGTTACAAAATGTACTGCACCTTTTGGAATATAAGATGCTCCAAAGTATAAGACGCACCTAGCTTTTGGGGAGGAAAACAAGAAAAAAATAATCTGCCTCTGCCTCCCAGCTATTTGCCTCCTTGCAACAAACAGCATAGTTTAATTTAGCATGAGCAGGTGATTGGCAGTTGGATCTGCCTCCTGGAATACCTCCTAACAGCTGCTCCAGACTGCGGGGATCACCACCGCCCATTGCTGCTGCCACCTATTGCTGTCTCCGCACATCCTAATTTTGGCCCGTTCCTAGGCAGCAGGGATTGCCGCCACCACTGCCTATCCCCTCTTGGAACAGGCCAAAAATGGGATGTATGGAGAGCAAAAATGGGGTGCACGGAGGTGGCGAAAGGTGGCAGTGGCGATGGGTGGTGCCCGGTGCCAATGGGCGGCGGTGATCCCTGCAGCCTGGAACAGTTGATAGGAGGTATTCCAGTAGCCAGATCCAACTGTCAGTCAGCTACTCGTGCTAAATCGGGATGTGCTGAAGCTGACCATACTGTTTGCTGCAAGAGGCAAATTGCTGGGAGCAAACGCGTTCAGCAACATTCGCTGTATAAGACGCATAGACATTTCTAGCCACTTTATGTGTGTGGGGGGGGGAGGGGGAGTGTGTCTTATACTCCGAAAAATATGGTGTACTCTAAGAAGCACTTACAAAATTTCACTCTACAAATAATTGCTATGTAAAAGTACATTTTACACTATAAAATACTTATCATCTGNGGTAGATAGTGTGTCCTAGGGAGCCATTTGTTTTTTTGTAGATTAGGACGTCCAGAAAGGGAAGTTGGTTGTTTGCTTCTATTTCCATGGTGAATTGTATTTTGGGGTGTAGGCTGTTGAGATGTGTGAGGAAGTTGTCCAATTTTTCTTTCCCATGTGGCCAAATTACAAATGGGCTCATTTGAACTAAATAAAGACCTATATTCTTGTTCTACAACTTCTGAGAGAGGGGGGGAGGGAGAGGGAGAGGGGGAGAGGTAGGTTTCAACCACTTTCTAACAATCAGGCCAGATGCACAGCAGCTTTGAAGCTTCGTTTTAGAAAAACAGCCAGTGGCAAAAAAATATTGCTGAACTCCTAATAGCCATGACAAACGTGATCAATAAAGAGAAATGCTGGATTTGTACTCAGTAACATTGGGTTACCTGCAGGTTCTGCAGCCCTCTAAGCCATCAGCCAATCCAACAGTTAGAAAACATATTTTGTTAATTTGGTCTTTGATATTAAGTTTGTTGAGTTTAGCATTACATCCTCTGAATGTAGACAAGACAGCAGAATCCCATTTCTGACTTATTCGATTGATATTCCATTGTTCATTCAGGTCAAAACAGTATGGATAGGACAATACTTTGGGGGTGGGGTGAGTTTGCACAATCCATCCTGTTGTAGGTTGGTGTGAGCAGAAGGATTTGCAAAAAGTCATCCAGTGAGCTTCCCTGGCTGAGGATGGATGCAAATCTAGGACTCCAGAGCACCAGATGAAGAACTTAATCGTTACATTCCTCCGACTTGCAGAGTGTCTCTAAAATCCACTTTGCTTCTTCAAAATTTAGGGCACATGAAAGACCTCTAATTTTAAGCTGTGGTTTGGAGAGATTCTGAATGAGTTTGGAAGTAAAGGAAGAAACAGTCACCTTGATTAGACTGTTAGAAGGAACTGCATCATAGAATGCAGTATTGGCTGGAGTGACTGACACAAATTCAAATAATCATTTGTCCAAAAACTCACTTTATGACTTGAGCCATTCATTCTTTCTTGGTCTACCTTACTTCCCGAAAGTACAACTGGATATCATTTTACAATTAATTCCTCTGAGAAACTGCTATTACTCCAGGTCTTAAACTGAAGAAATGCTAAGGACCAAGAAGTTCAAATAGCACACACAATTTTTAAACAAGCTTGTGAATATTACCTGTGCAAATTTTACAATTAAGATCAAATAGGTGGTTTTTATGTTGATTTGTTGTATCAGAACTGGAAGAATCATTATCTTCTTTATCTTTTTCAGTTTCCTCCACCTTTTCTACAATTTTAATTGGAGCAGGTTCCTATGAGAAGAAAACAAATTTTACACACGCTTTCATTTACATACTGCTAAGTTTCTCTTGTAAAACAAGGATGCATGCAGTCCATGAAAGGTACTCAGAGATCTCTAAACTAGGCTGAATAAATCAAAGATTAGACAACCTACATATTATATTCAAGTGCATGAGACCTGCAGGTGAAAAATGTTTTATTGTTACAATAACCCATTGAAGTTATACCTGAATTTCCATAATAGTTGCTTCTTGCTCTTTAACTGGAGCTTCACTTTCAATTTCTATTTCTCCTTTATGAGTAATTTTTGTGATTGGACGTATTTCAACTTCCCTCTGCTCTTTTTCAATCATTTCAATTGTCTATCAATAAACAAAAAAAAAAACAGATTACCTATACAAGGAAGAGCCTCCAGCACATGGAACCATTATTAAGAGATGGAAACTGGATTCCTTTTTTAAAAAAAATTAGAATACCTTTAAAAACAAATACTAGTGAATTAGTTTGTATACACGTAGAAAACCTGACAATAATTTTACTTATTAGAACAGTGGTCCGCAACCTTTGCAACCTGGCTGGGGAGGGGGGAGGGGAGGAACCAGGTTGTGTGAGTGGCGGGCTGGTACACATGCATGTAGCTCGATTTGTGCAAGTGGCATGCCAGCACATGTGCATGCATGCTGGCCCGCTACTCATGCAAGTTGAGCTATGTGCCTGCAAAAGTGTGCCGGACTGCCGCTCATGCGGCCCATTTCTGAATAGGTCACAGGCTGACAGGGGATTGGGGACCCCTGTACTGGAAGCTATGGTTTATTTTCAAATAAAACATTTTAAGGTTCGAAATTCCAGGGATATTGAGAAAATGATTCAATCAAGCCCATTTTACCAGAGAAGAATAAAAGTATAGTCATAATGCTGAAGGATGTCATCTTGAAAAAAGAGTTCTAGGATAGTTTGGTCAGAAAGCAATTGTGGCAAGATGTAAAATGAATTGGGGCAAGAGAGAACCAAATTTACTCCACACCCAAATCTTACATTAGGAGAACAGTTGCAAGTCTATATAAAATAAAATAGTCAATTGAAACCAGAAGAAAATACTAAACAATTTCCCACTTGCTAAATGCATGCTGTGAATGGGGCTGAATTTATCCTATTTAGCTAGCTTAATGTGAGCTGAGGGAAGCACTGATCATTTTATTATTTAGGAATGAGATGATGGGAAGGGACAATGACTTTTTGAAATGAAATAACTTATAATCAGGAATTAAGGGACCAATTCAATACTGGTGGATAAGCCATACATGTCTATTTTCTCTTTTCCTCCATGCTGCTAGCTCTTTGGAAGCTAATTCTTCAGGGCTCATTCTTATGAGATGGTCTGGAGTAACTTCCCCTTTCAATACTCTCTTAAAAAGTATCTGGAAGAGAAATCAATAATTAGTTACATATAATCAACCAAAACCTGCATATTCAGCGAGAAAAGTATTAACAACTGCAAACCAACTATACTTATGTGAAATTCAGTTAATTTCCCTTGAATGACCATTTCTCTACCACAAGTGTACACCAATGTAAATATTTCATATTTAGCTTCAATTATTTTATATGATGTAATATACTAATAGGAAGAACGATTGGTTTTCTGTTTAATTCCTCTAGTTACAATGTTTGCAGCATCCCAGAGTTATGTGATTGCCATTTGCAACCTCCCCAAGGGGCTACCAAGATGCAAAGTCAAAGGGGGGGAGCCAGATTTACTTAATGACTGTAGTGATTTGCTTAACAACTGCAGCAAAACAAAGGTCATAAAACTACATGATTCACTTAACGTCTGCATGAGTTAACAATGAAAGTTCTATCCCAATACCTGTACAGCAATTATGCTGATGGTAGGGACAGTGCAATTTTCATTAATTCATCTTTGCTCGTTCAGCATCCTATCCATTGAAATTTTATTCTGGAGAACTATCCAAAGGTAAAAAAAGATGACACACTAGTAAAAATGTCTTCATCTTTTCATCAGCAAGAAGTTTGTGGGCACAGCTCTGTTCACATATACTGTTATAGTTCTCTATTTAATCTATTTTTTAGGTAAAGAAATGTGAACCCCTATTTTGGGAAGCAAAACGCCCTTGAAAAAAATTAACAAGAAAGATATTATAGCATGCAAAAAGAAAATGACAGTGTTTGCATTAAATATAGATAGAAAAAAGTGGATGTATCAATGTGGATATGGAATAAAAGTTAGAAAATTTAACTCTAGGTCTGAGACTTCTAAAATGTTAATAATCAGGATGGAAGAAGAAATTATGAGCATTTAAAATTATTCTAGGCCTCCACAAAGAAACCAGAATTATTATTATTATTATTATTACTTTTGTACTAAGTTTTTATTTTATTTTATAACATACAAAAATTCCAATTTCAATTGAACCAGAATTATTTTTTGAAGAGTTCCCAAATACTTAAGAAATGTCATGACATACTTTATTTTTTGGATCTTTCAGATTAAATATCAAGCTTCTGTACTTATTTTTGTACTTGGAATCGGTATCCCGGAAAAAGGAAAAGAGCTCTTTTTCAATTTTATTTGCAACTTTTGCTGCTCTTTCTTCAGGAATCTTCAGGGTGGAGTCTGAAAGCCTGAAAAAAATATAAACAGATTTTATTTTATTTTATTTTAAGCAAAAGTGGAGTAGTAGGAATAGCTTTGCTGCAGGACTCATACCTTTTTTCTAGAATTTCTTTCAGTGACTGTTTAACACTTTGTCTTATCTGATCAGCAGAAGGTTTGGCTGTAGAAGCAGGAGGTGAGTGTACATTACTTGAAGTTCCCTTCTCAGTTCTCTTTTTCTTCATTTCCTGCTTATCCTGAATACCTTTTGAAATATAACCAAATTAACTGTTTTAGAGAGATATGGAGAGATAAAAGCTACATTTCTCCAAATGACCATATAATGAGAACAAGAGGTTTTACTGTCGAAAAGATAAAATGAATTGACTGAATTTATTTTAATACTATTTGCATACTGCCCTAATCTGACAGGCACTGTGAAAAAAAAACAACAAAATCCTAAGTATAACAACAATAAAAACAACCAATAGAAATCACAAAGAAGTTCTACGATGGGCATCTATATCTAGAGTGGTTATGTACATTGGGATAATGTTTTATCTGCTTGCAAAAATCAAAGAAGGGATAGTGGGCCAACATGCCCCTGGGGAAAGTGTGATTGAAAGTGTGGGAGTAACCACAAAGGCGGCCTGTCTTATGATGGGATGGAGTTCTTAGCAGGCCCTCTCTCAAAGTTCACAGCACCACACGAAGTTTCCATTCTGGCAAATAATTGATCAATGTATCCAAGTATTTAAAGAGACCACAAACATTTTGACTTGAGCCCAGAACACCAGTCTTTAAATTGGTTTTATTCTGCAATGGCAAGGTTTCTCACTAGTAACCTGGCCACCATGTTTTATAGCAGCTACACCCTCTGGCTCACTTCCAAAATTACAGTAATCTAAACGGATGTGGATCAGGGCCAAAAACATCCTGATCCAGGTCAACTTTTAACTAGCATACCAACCAGATTTGGATCAAGGTCCCAGATTATAACTTTTCCTGCTGTAAGCAAGAGAGTCTAGGACCATGATGGCGAACCCATGGCACTTGTGCCACAGGTAGCAAACGGAGCCATTTCTGAGGTCATGCAAGACGTTTCCCTGTCAGCTCCAAATTTTTGGGTTTTATTTTTGGCCGTTTTTCGGCTTCCTGAAGGCAAAAAGCGCCCAACGTGCAAACCAGAAGTTCAGGAACGGACTTCCGGTTTGCACGTTGGGCGGTTTTTCACCTTTGGAGGGAGAAAAACGACCCAATGTGCAACCGGAAATCCGTTCCCAAACTTCCGGTTTGCTTGTTGGGCCATTTTTCACCTTCCCCAGGCTCCTAGAAAGCTTGTGGAGCCTGGGAAGGGCAAAAAACAGACCTACTGGGACCACCAGAAGTTGGAAAATGGGCCATTTCTGGCCTCCAAGGTGGGGAGCCATTTTCGCTCTCCCCAGGTTCCTAAAAAGACTCTGGAGTCTGGGGAGGGCGAAAAACGGACTTACCAGGACCATCGGAAGTCAGAAAATGGGCCATTTCCAGCCTCCAGAGGGTGGGAGGGATTTTGCCTCCCCAGGCTCCAAGAAAGCCATGCCCGCATGCGCAAGGAGCGTTGCGGCATTAAATTATGGGGGTGGGCACAGATGTCGTGCGATAGCGTGTGCTTCTGGCACCCGAGGCAAAAAATGTTCGCCATCACTGGTCTAGGGTGATTTCGTAGTCATTACAGGGAGGCCAATATTACTCAAATGCCCCGTTTCAAAAAACTCCAGCTTCAGATTTGTTCAAAAGGAACATACTTCTTATTTTTAAGATTTAATCTGAGCTTCTTTCACCCATTATTAAATTGCACAGAGCCTTTCTATTTTATTGCTCAAATATGAATAAAACTAATCAATTAAAAAATAATAATATAAATTTCTCTCTAATCTCAGAAACACTACCATTATTATAAGCAATCAGGCAAAATTTAATATTTAAACCCACTTATATTATCAGAAGCACACCTTTTAGATGTAGTCAAGTCTGTGTGGCAAAATTATAATTATGTAAATTAAACCAGATTAAGTTATATTCAGTGTGAGGCTTTTTCTTTAAACAAAGAAGTTGTTTACAGTGTAGCATATTCCCACTGCAGAGGGCTATTCCTCAAATGAATTTCCAATAAAAGGCATAAGGTATCTTAGAAATTGTTAGCTTGTACAGAACTATAAGCTTTAGAGGAATGTAAGGTTTATCAATGCTTAATTTTAAAAAAAACAAACAGAAAAAAGTCAATATTTAAAAATTATTTCATTCAACGAATCATTTTTCAGATTTATTAATATTTATGACATCGGTATCAAATGCAAAAAATATATATTCAATCTGATTGTTTTATTTCCAGCAGCTTTTGAATATGACTTACAAATTTTGGAAATCATTATCAGCTATTTTGGTTTCAGTTACCTTGCTTTGGTGTGCTTTCACTTGAACACGAAGCATTATCTTTATTCGATTTTTCATATTTGTCTTCAGAAGATCGTCGGGGTATTGAACCCATTTGCCCTGTTTTCTTAAGGGGATTCTGTTGCCCCTTTTTACTTTCAGAATCTTTGCATTCTAGTATTGCTTTTCCTTCACTAGATTCCTGAAACAGTTACAACACTAATTATAAGCCTTTTTTCTGTTCAATTTTTCTTTACTCTCAGGATCAAAGCATCTATTGAAAAATATGCATTTATATAAACTATGCCAACTTCAACCTAAATTGTTCCCAAGAGGGCTAACTACGTAAAAAGAAGAAGAAAAATCAAATACCTTGGAAAAATAAAAATATATAAAATGAACAAAATTGTACAGAACATTTTATTCAAACAGATTGGAGAAGTTTGATTTGGACTCTATTCCAAATGACCTTTTTTTTGCTATCCTGATTGCATTGACTTTAACTATTGACTGTAAATATTACAGAGGAACGGGGGGGGGGCGGGGGGGGGAAGAAACCCAATCATGCTATCTTCACTTAGAATCTACCCAAACACGAACATGTCATTAGATGAATAGTATAATGGTTGTACATCTCTCAGTAGTAAGGATTATTATTGAAGGAGAAAAATATCATGTAAAATAATGGATTTCCTCTCGTACAACTACATATTCATCCTTTTCAATTTTCTTCCTCTAAGGATCTGATCAGAACACCTTTCCCCAGACTAGAGGAGAAGTACAGGTATATGGGGGGGAAAAATAGGTTCCCTTCTTCAACCCAGTGATAAAGACTCTCATTGTCTGGTGAAAAATTAGATTTCATCTAGACATTGTAACTATATCACTAATAAAAGGAGAGATCATAAATCTTCTAAGGAATCAACTGTTCACATTTAATACACATTAAAATGCTCCTTTGCCATTTACAATCTTGGTCAACATTCCCTTGATGAATTGCACTTCTAAAGCAACAGTTCAAGCAATACTAGCACTGATTTGTTTCTCAGAGGCATTTTTAGCTGAATCTGAACATTCTGAAATGTAATATAAATAAGAATAATTAGGGTTATGGGAACTTCTGAAGGAAGCACAGGTTGCAACAGAGTACATTGTTTTAAATTAGCAATTACTCTGGGAATCTAATCCATATTTAATAGCACTTAGACTTATATACCACTTCATAGAACTTTCCAGCCCTTTCTAAATTCTTTACAAATGTCAACATCTTGCTCCCCAAAAATCTGGATCCTCATTTTACAGATCTTGGAAGGATGGAAGTGTGAATCAACCTTGAGCTGTTCAAGATCGAATTCCTGGCAATGGGTAAAGTTAGCCTACAATACTGCATTCTAACCATTTATTTGTTTTAATTAAATAATTTAATTATTAAATTATTGTCATTATTCAATATATAAAATAATATAATATATAATAAATATAATAATATTAATTCTTAACAAGTGACATTTTTTAGGGCTTGAGATTAAGTCAGGAAGCCAAATATCTATTCAGTTACATAATTCTTTATTAATCATGCATTAATGACATGAAAGCAATATAAGTATACTTTTTTATTTTGAAAATCCCCCAAAAAGATTATACACATTTTATATCAAACTAATTTAATAAAAATTGTAATCACTCTCCTTTCTTCTTCCGTTATTTGGAAAACAACTAATTGGCGAAAGCTGCAAATGACTGTATATTAGGAAAATGAATTTCATTTCTAAGTATAAAAAATAGTTATTTAAAAAAAAATTAAAGGATTTCTTGCCTTTTGAAACAAAAGGCAGCGCATTTGAAAGAAAACGTTTTAAAAGGGGTTAACACGTTTGCTGTAATCTGGCCATACCGTAAAAAGAAAGGTCATTTCTTACCCGCTTAAAGATTTTGACCTTATGTTTCACGGAGTCTTCTCCTTGCTTTGGGGTCTTGTTTTGAGGGCCCATGAAGGTGTGCTTCGACATTCCAGGCTTCTCACACTCCACTGATCTATTGTCTCTGGCTGTTTCAAGTTTCACATTGGCATCCAACATATTCTGATCGACTGAATCTGGTTTCTTGTCTTCCTCAGCGCAGCATTTGATGCAAACATATTCTTTGTCTTCTTCTCCCATTTGCTGCGCTTGAAACAAACTCAATCCAACACAATCGCCATGAAACCAATCATCGCATCTACCACAGCCTACCATAAACCTAGAACCAAAAATAAAATCATTGCTTTATCGTAATCTTTATATTATTCTAAACATAAAAAGTTTGTAACCGTCCTAAAAGGCCTTCCATATAAGAACAGGTCCTCTTTTGGAATATTTTGCGCAAAAGAGTGCATCCATTTCTCCAGCCTTACAACATGGTGTAAAATGTCAAGAGGATGTTGTTATGCTAGTCGGTAGTCTACTATCATTCGTAATAAAATATACATCTGTGAAAGAGAATTTTAACTTTTGAATTTTGTTTCAGCAGCCTAATAAAGATGACTACTTACAACTTCAGAAAGAATTCAACAAATGAATGCATACATTGTTGGATCCCATATATCAGCAAAACACTTGCAAATTAGGATCTGGTTTTGACAAAATAGGCAATGCCTAATAGTTTTCATAAACAGATTAATCATTCTTCCCTATTCCAGATTATTTATGAGCAGAATTACAGCTGCCACTTTTATATTTATCAAATAATATAATAAAATCCAGGACACTTGTAAACTTCATTGAAGAACTCATTGAAGGAAAGAGATGTCCTTAAATTGATAATTTTCTAAATGGTGTAAACCTCTAGTATTCTTTCTTCCCCAATGAAATTTGACAGGAATAAAACTCTCTAGTAAGATAAATTAGTCATACTTTAGCATACTTAAATGCATTAGAAGGCAACTCAATCCTCTCCCTCCAAATGGAGCCACTGGAAAGGAAAGAAAGGAAATACTACCTGTTTTAATTTTCAGGTTTGCCTTTGTAAAGTTTTAGAAAATAAGTTACTTGAAATATTTGAACTGATTTCAGAAAAATCTTGACTATTTTCAGAATAGGCAACTGGGTCAAACTTCAGTTGCCTCAAGAGAACCATTCTGCCTACAGCTTCAAGCCTAAAATCTCCGTTATCCCAAATTATCTTGAAGGTGTTTCAGCTTAAATAACTTTTTTAAGAAGCTGGTGAATTTAAATGATCTGTGAATATATGCATAGTTCATATATTTTATAAGGAGATAAGAAGCAATTATTTTACCTAATTAAAAATGTAAATTTTCTTCTGACTGAAGTGTATGTGTGCTCTGCATGTAAATTTGTCTACATGTGTGTGCACATATGTATCCACATCCCAACTGTTTATCCAAATGTAGAAACTTTTTAGATAAATATTTTGAATTTATTTTAACTCTATAACTAGAAAGTAAGATAGCAACCACCTCATATTTTTTCCATGAACATACATCATGGAGAGTGGTCACATTTCATTAGAAAGACAGAGCATGCTAGGGAATATAATTTGTATTTCAGAAATGATTGCAAATAAAGCAAATGACAGTATTAAGTATACATGAGAATTTCATGAAGTTTATTAATATGATTCACTCTGAAACATGACAGTGTGAAATAGGCCACAGAGATATTTTATGAATGGGTGTAAAAATATTGTCTCTTTATGGTTTAATGTGTTCATAGAAATTAGAAAAAAGGATTTTTTTAAGACAGTTGTAAACATATCACAGAGCTTCCTTGTAGGGGTGATGGATGGCACAGAATTTTAATAAATAAATAAATAAAGTTAAAAAGATATTCCTTTCAAGGAAACCTGAACTTGGCTGTCACCAGGAAATTGTCATTAGGAATAAGTTCACATTCTTGACAAAACTGAATTTAAAAAAAGAAAAATGTAGATGACTGGGAATGTACAAAGACAGGGATTAGTACTTATTCCATATATTTAATAAAATTCTAGTGGCTAAGAAACTGGAAGACTAATAATAAAAAAAGCCAATGTTGACTTTAAAGATAATACTGAGTCATTAAAAAAAATATTGCACAAACTACTTTTGAAATATAAAATGGTGGAGTGCAAAGAAAGAACAATTAATATATTATGAAAATATATATATAGACCTTAAGTATATCTTTGGATAAATTGTATATTTATCAAATTAAACAGGAAAAATCGTTTGAAAAAAAGACCGGTTTTCTTCTTAATTATTTGTTTTTTAAACTATGTATTATGACTCTTAAAGAAAATCATGAATTTTCTTCTATTTCAGGTGTTTAAAAGTTCATTTCATTAATCTCTGAATCACACCTGGTTTTAATGGAAGTAAATTTGTTTCTACATTGTCCAGTTTACAGTAATCTAAATTTTCAAAGTCAGTTCAATAAATTATGTGGACATATTAAAATATTTTAATTATTTAATAAAATCATTTCAGAACAGATGAATGCACTGAAATCTTTATATATAAAGAGGTGTTTTTTTTCTTTTGTTCCCTATTAACAGGAAGAAACTAATTTTGCTAATTAATAAAACTTTTTTTTTTGCTTGTTAAACTTTCTCTGAAATAACACTAATTGATCTGAAAAATAAAATGTAGAAAATTATTAACCAGTAACATTAATGTGTCCTTTGGATAGATATATTAACTTTATCATTAGCTTAAGTCTTGGAAATGACAGGTTTCACTTAATGAAATCTGGATATAACTGATAAGGACCGAGTAATGATTCAGTAAGCATAACAGTTGATGCTTAATTTACTGCAAAAAGATCCAAACTGGTAATGAATAATTGAACAATGTGTTAACTTGCACTAGAATTAGATTTAATTGACTATATTCAACAGAATGACTATACATTTCACTATGTAAAAAAATTATGCTAATTTAGTTCTTACTATAGTATTTTACCCAAACATTACAGGGTTTTTCAAATAAAGGCAGGATTCCTGTTTATTCTATCCTGATTTCACTAATCCTCACAAGTGTATCACAGAAATTGGCAGGAAGAAAGAGTACATTTCCCAACAATAAAATGTGGGTGGATGCCATGGAAATTTTAATAATTTGATTTTTTTGTAGATTATGTTTCTAAACCACGTTACGATTTTTATTAAAACCTTTTTTTTAGTAATATTGGGGAAGAAAAATTCTTAATAAGCTATTAAGTAGCCATTTTCCAATAAATTTAGGTTCCATTTTTTAAAGAAACTACTAAACGTTTGGCCACTAGTTTATTACTTTTTAGTACTGACACTGAAATAAGAGCAGAACTAATAGAAAGGAGCAGCTAATATAGTGTGGGATAACTGTGGTGGATAGGAAGACTTTCTAAAAAACTGTCATTCAGGAAGAGCTGGTAACAAAGCATTCTTCTATGACAGGTTTTGTAGTAGCATTCAACATGTTGGCCCACTAACACTAAAACTTTGGATGTAGATTGCTTCTTAGTTTGATGTCCAATTGCATTAACCATGTTGTAAGGTTGGAGTGGATACACAGCTGCAACAGAAAGAAAAGAAATATTTTTAAGATAGTAATTGGTGATATTTAGCAGATTCAACTATCTTGAAATACAACCTATACAATCCATAAAAGCTCTAATTACATATTTTTGTATTCTAAAATTCTACCTTATAGTTCTGTATGCAACAAGTTACTGTAAGCAGGAACATCTGCTGTAAGCATACTTAAAATAATAATTGTGTTAAGATACGGACAACTCATTTCCACAGAAATCTCACTGCTACCAGTGGATTCCACTACTCAGAGGAATCTACTAAAATATTCCAATGTGATTTAGACTATCTTTTTCAAAAAACAAAAATCAAAATACAACTTTAATTTAGGTAAAGCAAAGCTTTCTGTTGGGTAAGTCAGAGTCCTTCTGGAAGGTAGCATTAAAACAAACAAAATTAGAAAACAGTGAAGAATACACCAGTCCAAATTCACTTTATTATAAATACAGTTTAAGGTTGTTTTGCAAAAGCAATCAAGCCAGTTGTTTAGGAAAGTCGTAGCACAAGACATACTATTGTGTCTGTCAATCAGTTCATTCCATTTTACTTTTTTGTACAGGCATGTAGCACTTCACATGTAGTAAGAAATACACACACACACATGTATATACATACATGCACACATACATACAATGTGACAAGCATCAAGTATCTTTAAATAAGCTATTCCACCAATGACAACTTTTTAAACGTTTGAGTTAGAGCTGCATTTAATAGGTAGCAAGAATAATCTTGACGAAGGAAGAGACTCAGGAAAGACAAGGGCCAGGTAAGAGAAATCTGAATCCAAAGCAGAAATACAATTTTAAAGAATGTCTCAGGCATATCTTACTACAATTAAAATGTGTAATTAAAGAGTAGCAAGACCTTGCTCCTGATCTCATAGCAAAGATGTTATTGGCTGACCTAATCCATCTCTGATTCATACATATTGAACTAATGTTCAAAAGGGGAATTCAGCTTCATTATTATTCATATTTACTAGAGAATGGCTTGTAGATTAAAATGTCTCATCTCCAAGTTTAAAAACAAAGCAAAGTAACAAGCAAAAGACACTGTACTTAAAAAACTCAATATGAATTTTTCAGTGCTTTATAAAATGGTACGCAAAAAATCCATGGCTCTCATCTGAAAGGTTTTTTTTCTCCAAAACACCATTAGCTTTTTTGTTAAACAGTCATTATTTTAATCAAGAAAATTAACACACATTGCTATATAATAAAGTCCAATGTTTCTTACCAAGGAGCATTTTCCAACACTTAATTAAGTAAATAGGAAAAACTCTTTAATGTAGTTTAATTTTCCTACAAAGTAATTTGCAGTTATTAGATCTCAGTTTAATGAGGTCTTTAAATATTAGTATTTTATTTATTTCTGAGAATGTTAAATAGCTTACATCAATACATTCAAATGATTTCAAGAATGATGCAGATATAACAATTATTGTCACTTGTAGTTACAGAATAGAAATCAAATAAATAATAAAAAATAAATTGTCATAATGGAAATGAATGTAAATAAAGGTAGTCCTTGATTTATTCAGCCCAAAATTTATCTTGCTAAGCAAGACCGTTAAGTATGTTTTGGCCCATTTTACAACTTTTCTTGCCACAATTGTTAAGTGAACTACTGCAGTTGTTAAGTTGGTAACGTGGTTGTTAAAGAAATCTAGTTTCCCTATTGCTTGTCAGAAGGTCAAAATAGTGATCACATGAACCTGGGACACTGCAACCCTCATAGGTATGAGTCAATTGCCAAGCATTTGAATTTTGGTCACATGCCGGGGCGAAATTGCAATGATTGTGTGAAAAGCAGTCATGTCATTTTTTTCAGTGCCGTTGTAACTTCACTAAGTCACTAAATGAACGTTTGTAAGTCAAGAACAGTGTCGGCTGGCAGCTCCCCGGAGGAGGGCCTTCTCTGTGGGTGCTCCGACCCTTTGGAATGAACTACCCCCAGAGATCTGGACCTTGCCCACTCTCATGGCCTTCCGAAAGCTGTTAAAAACTGGCTATTCCAGCAGGCCTGGGGCTGTTGACCTCATTTCTCATTTCAGCCCCAATCAGATTGGGTGCATGGGTGATGTTTTTTAAATTGTTCTTTTTTATTTTTTATTAATTATTCTTCTTGTTTTTGTAAGCTGCCCGGAGTCCTCCGGGATTGGGCGGCCTATAAATCTACTTACTTACTTACTTACTTACTTACTTACTTACTTACTTAATAAATAAATAAACAAACAAACAAACAAACAAACAAATAAAGAACTCCGAGATTGGGCGGCCTATAAATCTACTAAATAAATAAATAACTACCTGTAAATAAATCAGTAAAGATAGAGAGATGAATACTAGACATTTGATTATTTTATAAACACTATGCCATAATGCATTAGTTTATGATAAATAAAAAGTAATAAATCCAAATAATGTCTTGACATCACATGTGAAACACACTATAGTAGTATGATGGAAACAAAATTAAAACCCAATTCCATATATGTATAGTTAAGTTAGATGTGATGCTAATCTAGAACTCTTTGCAATCTTAGTCATTTTCACTTTAATTTCACTTAAACCAGAAGACATGTACCGTTCAGATTTTTTTTTCATAACTAAACTATATTAAACATGCATATGTAAACTATATAGAATGAGTCCAATACAGAAACATACTTAATTGAATTCGATTTAAATTTAGATTCATGCACAGGTGGGCAAATAGAATTGAAATGGTTACATAGCCACAAAGAGTCTCCAAAATTACTGTGAAAGCTTTTTCCAGAGCAACTGTAAGGCATAATAAATGGAAAGATCAACTTCCACTACCCTATTGAATGGATCAGAATCTAGATTCATTTATATCGACTTTAAAATGTGTGCATCTAGGGCGAGAACTGTGGGTAGAACTCAGTATGAGGCTTGCGGAGTAATGTTGTCCTTCTGAGAAATGTAGGGAAATTAGGTGTATGGGAGAAAGAAACCAAGAAAATGGATTCCACCAAGAGAAGTGTACTATTTGGAGTCTATCAATGCAAATAGCACTATCTTTTTTATTACATAGGTAATAATTATAACTTTATATTATTGTTAATTTACCATTTCTACAAGATAACAAAACATGAATCCCTCCACCAGTGGTGGGATTCAAAATTTTCTACTACCGATTTGGTAGGCGTGGCTCGGTGTGCATGGCTTGGCTTAGTGGGCATGGCTTGTGAGTATGGCAGGGGAAGGTTACTGCAAAATCCCCATTCCCTCCCAATCAGCTGGGACTCGGGAGGCAGAGAATAGATGGGAACGGGGGCAGTCAGAGGTGGTATTTACCGGTACTCCGAACTACTCAAAATTTCCACTACCAGAACTGGTCTGAACCTGCTGAATACCACCTCTGCCCTCCACTTATACTGAAGCCATTATTGCAAATGTCTTATTTTAATATTAATTGAACTCATTCTAATTAGCCTTTATTGTTTTAATAAATGTTAGTGGCTTCTGAAATAAAACAAAATCTGGATGGGGATGGTGGAAACCTAGCTTCATAAAAAGATCATAGAAACAACTGTTTACAACCAATTATCAATCAACAGAATAATATGGCTGCATAGAAAGCTAACACCATTATAGCCTACATCAACACAATTTCCGACGTATGAAAAGAAATAATTAATCAATCTTGCTTTGCTTAAGTCTTCACCTTCAATATTCTAATTGTGGGCATTTATACTCTACAGAGGATTCAAAGAAAGATTCAATAAAATTACTTGGTGACTAGAAATTAAACCTATGGGGAAAAAATATTGAAGGAGCTGGGCATGTTTGAAATTGAGAAAAGAAGATATAGCAACTTTCACACATATTTGAGAGGTTTGTGCACAAAAGGCCAAAACTTGTTCTTTCTGAGTCCAGAAATCATGGCTTTAAGTTAACAGGGAGTCAGGTTCCAACTGAACATCAGAGAAAAAATATTTCTAACAGTAACAGCAATTTGATAATGGAATCAATTATAAAGACAAGGGCTAGGCTTTCTTTTACAGGATATCTTCAAGCAGAAGCTAGCCTGTCACATTTGTTGATTTGGTTTGATACAATGGAGATGAGTTGCACTCAATGGTCTAGACCAGGGGTCTCCAACCTTGGCAACTGTAAGACTTCTGGACTTCAACTCCCAGAATTCCTCAGCCAACTTTATCAAGCTTTGGTGGCTGAGGAATTCTGGGAGTTGAAGTCTGGAAGTCTTAACGTTGCCAAGGTTGGAGACCCCTGGTCTAGACAGCCCGTTCCAGCTGTATGATACATTCAATAGGTATTAGGTGCCAGTAGTGATATGAAATGCATTAATTTACAATAGTTTGAAAACATCTGCTCTTTTCAACAGTTCTATTAGTGGAAAATACTGGATACGTATCTATAATTTTCAAATAAAACTATATTTATACCCTACTGTCTGATAATACAATATGTGAAATTTGTATCAAATATTTGTATTAATTGGCAACAGGGCAAAGAAAATATTATTTCAGGTGCTATACATTCCTAGTTCCTAGGTGTTTCAAACTATAACTCCTGATGTTTCTAATTAACCATATAGCATGAAATGTAATAGAATCATTGTGCTCAATATCTAGAACAGCCCGAATTGAAAAAGCTGTAATGCAGAATAGCTGGTACATTAAATTGTTCGTCCCCCAAAAGTGTTCTGATTTTCAAATCATTTAAACAAGCTTTTTTTCTTTTTGCAAACAACCAGAATATATGGCTATTTTCTTGCATCCATTTCTTCTTTTGCTTCTTCTTCATTATCATCTTCTTCTTTCATCTTCCTTCACTCCCTTAGTTTAGCTGAAGGACATTCTGACTTACTTCAACCATTTTAGATTTTAGGTTAAAAATTGATTAATCTGAGTCTATCTTTTATGTTTTAATTTGAAAAAGATAGTCAAAAACCTAAAATTGGGACCAGAATGGATAATGTGTGACTGCAAAAGATCTCTCTAGAAATCTCTTAATCATCTACAGCCCAAAAGCAACCCTTTTCACAGTCTACTACTACAACACGTTTTTCCCACTTCACCACTTAACCTCTAATTCTCCTGCCCCCCCCCCCAAAAAAAGCCAAAAATATTGATCCTGTCCTATGATGACATACCTGGCCACGATCAATAATGTGAAACATTCAGATTTTTGAAAAAATTAAAGGGGTCCACCCATCCCCATCGGAAGAAATTCACCTACCCCTGCTCTAAAATATGAGGTGCCGATTACAATTTTTGTTTGTAAAATCAACGTGTTTAAAGCACACACCTGTTGCCATGTGGCTTTCTGCAAAATCCACACTGCTTACTAGGCATCCAGATACTTTTGTTTTCACTGGGAGACAGGAGTTCTGTGCTCTCTCGTTTTACAGTAGAAATATTATCTGGGATAAACAGTGGCGGTTCATCAACTGAAAGACTTTTACTGCTTCTTCTCTGTCGAGGCTGAAGGTTCTTTTCTAACTTTCTAACTTTCATTTTCTCCCTTTCATCATCTTTTAAATAATCCACAAGTAATGTCATGGAATCTTTTCTCCCTCCTTCTTCCTTAATGCTATTATTTGCTTTAAGGTGATATTTCTGTGGCTGCTTCTGACTCTGTTGTGGCAACTGCCCTTGTTTAGCTGCTCCCAACACTAAATGTAAACCTTCTTTAGAACCAGCATGGTGGCTGATAGATCTGTCATTTATTTTTTCTGTGGTTATCTTCCGTACCTGAACTGGTATTTGACCCCGAGGAATATTTCTCCCTACCTCATGGATTGGCTTCTTTAGAGGTATTCCAGAGTCACAGCTCTGAAATCTTATATCTTTATCTGAATATTGCTTCTTAACTTTAAATATTTTCTGAGTATGCTGAATGTTTCCTTGCTCCTCCATGTGACGTTTCAGACTTACTGAAGACTGACTGCGAGGACTTGGAAGAACGTGAATTTTACTGTGTGTGTCTTGGCCTACAGTAGCCAATCTCCGTTGTGTGACCATAGTTTTATTTTGTTTAGTCTTGGTATTTTTGGACTTCGTCTTTTTTAGATATTTTAAGGGAACGCCAGAATGGCCATCTTCCCGCAATCCTGAAAACGCAAGCTCTCCCGTTTTTACATTTTCGGGCACTTGAAATACGGTTTCAGTTGGAATGTCTTGAATAATATTATCTTCCAAAGTACTTGTTTCCAATTTGATAGAATTTGTACCATCCTCTTTTAAATCAGTCTGTTCAAATTCCATGCTATTTAAAGGAAGATCGTCTTTCAAATCAGCCTTTACCAAGTTATCTGAACGTTCTTGCTTCTCTTCTTTTTGCAAGTTAGCATTATGAGCAATGTCGTCACTAGCCTTTAAACCTAAGTTGCATTCAGCAACAGAATTAGACTGAACTGTAAGAGCTTCCTGAATTTCACTTGCATTTTCACAAGTTTTGGAAATAAGCAGAGCATCACTCATCCCAGTTTCCTCGTTTGGATCTTCTATTTGAGTTCTACTCTGTTCTTCCTCCGTCTTATGGTTTGCCTTTCCTGATGAAGATATTTCAGATGCGTATTTCATAACTTCATCACCTTCATCTTTCAAGCAATTGCTATGCGTAACTTTATCTGCCTCCACAAAAGCAGGTGACGCGGACTCTGTTCCAATGGTGGCACCATAATTTTCTGTAACAGCCTGTGCTCCATTTTCCATAGAATCTGCCAAATTAGAAGAATTCCCCGTTCCATGACATACTTTGACTTTTGGCTCAGTGGGAATTTCATGCTCGTGATCTGCTTCGGTGCTTTCTGATTCTGCACAAGACGGAACCCATTCTGAATTGCCTGAAGATGATGGCGGGATTTCTTTTGCTTCTTCCAATTTGGAACCATCGTTACATGGCTCAATCTTTTTTAACTGCTCTGGTGCATTACTGTTATTATTATCCTGTTTAGCCTGTCCTTTATCGTGTTGTTTCAGTCCTCCCTTCTGGGCAGGTCCAGACTTCACAGTTTTCTTCGTGGGAACAGAAGACGGAGGATTTGAACGTTTAGCTAGTGTGCTCTGCCGCAGACTTCGGACTGGCTCTATTTAAAAAAATTATATTGGGTGTTATTTATAACAATAAAAACACAATATATACTAAAAACAGGTGGATTTATATGTAATTTAACACAATAAACACAAAAGTTAGTAAGCTTATCCTCAACAATTATTCAGGTAAGTGGATTATAGATTGCTCTGTTCATCAAATGGTAAACACATTTATTTCAAACAAACACTAAGTTATGTTTGATCAAGGAAACAGGAACTCTACAAAATGCAGAGTTATTAATGTGTATATTTTTTTTAAAAAAACTACCTTGGTTCATTAAACGTGGAGACTTTCTTGGTGATTTGGTTGAAGTTCCATCCATTTGGTCCCTCAATTTCCTGTTGGGTGACAGATCACCTTCATCAATGGTACTCTGAGCAGTTTCCTTAACTCTGTCATCCATAATATCATCAAGTCCGACAGCTAAAAAAAATGAAGAAAAAAAAATCCTAAATCTTAAAAAGAATTTTTTTTATTACGTCTAAAATGTCATGAAAGATGTGAAACATAAAGAAAGCAATGGCAATGGGGAAGGGGTGGGACGGGGAGGGGAGAAGAGAGAGATAAATAAGTTTAAATGCATGTGTAGGAAATGAGATGTACAAGTTTCCCACAAGGCAGATAAAACAAGTGGTCATCCAGAGCAGTATTATTTCTCATACATGGTCCTTGAGAAAGAGTCATAGCCATTTTTAGTGGACTCACATTTTATTGATTTGCCACAGGAAGTTCTCAGTCCTTAAAGGATCAGCTGTCCCCTCACTGTCCCTTCCCACCTAAGAGAAAGAGAATTTAATAATGGAAAGAGCTGATCCAAAAGTGACAATTTCCTTTATCTATATAATTTTAATAGTTTCTTTGTAGATGCTAAATGTAGAACATGATAGTCTGGCAACTATTAATAAATGTTTCACCTGCTAAACATCTAGCCAAAAACTAAGGGCTACAGTATAAGGTTGCAATTTGATGTACATCTCATTAAACACAATGAGATTTATTTCCATGCAAACATTCTTCTTAGGATTTGTTACTGTGTATCAAAAGTGTATGCAGGTATGTATCTATATATTAATTTACTTATTTTATGAGATGTTGCAGAACACATTCAATAAATGAAAACCTACTAGAAATGTCTATGTTCAGAAAATCGGAATGACATTGATTTCCCATTACAAAACTCGGTTTCCTTTCATTCCAACTTTCTGATAATGGGTGTTGATTCAATTTAGAGATTTACTGTCTCTGTCACTGATACAGGAATTATTTTAATACTAATCAAGAAGAATTTAAAATGTACATTATTAAATATATAAAATAAATATTAGCAAAAAAGAGAGTATTTTCTTCCAAGGCTGTGCAATAACTTTGAAAAAGGGTGACTCAGTACACAGGAGTGGAGGTGAAGCTTACTTTTTGAATTATTAAAGTATGCTGCCATGGCTTTCAAAGAACTTACATAGCCCTACTCATGGCAGATAGTTGTCCAGGCTCTGCTTTAAGATTTATAATAAAAGTAGCTTGCTCTTCTTGTTATTAGTTACAACAGCCATGGGTTACTTCTATAGAGCCAAGGTGGCGCAGTGGTTAAATGCAGCACTGCAGGCTACTTCAGCTGACTGCAGTTCAGCAGTTCGGCTGTTCAAATCCCACCTGGCTCAAGGTTGACTCAGCCTTCCATCCTTCCGAGGTGGGTGAAATGAGGACCCAGATTGTTGTNAAACAAACAAACAAACAAACAAACAAATAAAGAACTCCGAGATTGGGCGGCCTATAAATCTACTAAATAAATAAATAACTACCTGTAAATAAATCAGTAAAGATAGAGAGATGAATACTAGACATTTGATTATTTTATAAACACTATGCCATAATGCATTAGTTTATGATAAATAAAAAGTAATAAATCCAAATAATGTCTTGACATCACATGTGAAACACACTATAGTAGTATGATGGAAACAAAATTAAAACCCAATTCCATATATGTATAGTTAAGTTAGATGTGATGCTAATCTAGAACTCTTTGCAATCTTAGTCATTTTCACTTTAATTTCACTTAAACCAGAAGACATGTACCGTTCAGATTTTTTTTTCATAACTAAACTATATTAAACATGCATATGTAAACTATATAGAATGAGTCCAATACAGAAACATACTTAATTGAATTCGATTTAAATTTAGATTCATGCACAGGTGGGCAAATAGAATTGAAATGGTTACATAGCCACAAAGAGTCTCCAAAATTACTGTGAAAGCTTTTTCCAGAGCAACTGTAAGGCATAATAAATGGAAAGATCAACTTCCACTACCCTATTGAATGGATCAGAATCTAGATTCATTTATATCGACTTTAAAATGTGTGCATCTAGGGCGAGAACTGTGGGTAGAACTCAGTATGAGGCTTGCGGAGTAATGTTGTCCTTCTGAGAAATGTAGGGAAATTAGGTGTATGGGAGAAAGAAACCAAGAAAATGGATTCCACCAAGAGAAGTGTACTATTTGGAGTCTATCAATGCAAATAGCACTATCTTTTTTATTACATAGGTAATAATTATAACTTTATATTATTGTTAATTTACCATTTCTACAAGATAACAAAACATGAATCCCTCCACCAGTGGTGGGATTCAAAATTTTCTACTACCGATTTGGTAGGCGTGGCTCGGTGTGCATGGCTTGGCTTAGTGGGCATGGCTTGTGAGTATGGCAGGGGAAGGTTACTGCAAAATCCCCATTCCCTCCCAATCAGCTGGGACTCGGGAGGCAGAGAATAGATGGG